CTAAACTCAATCCAACACTTATTTTCTTTGTTTAGTTAAAACTATATTTAAAGTTTTTTTTTTTGCTTAATAAACCGTATGTGTCTGTTTAAAGATATATAATTATGAGGTTATGAATCTTATACACTCCAGTAAAGAAAGATACAAACATTTCCCCAACAAGCACAAACAAATTATACTAGAGAATTATGCTATCTGAATTTATAATATTTTCTTAACTACCTTTATGAGAAAATGGATATTGAGTAAGTACATCAACCAAAACATATAAGTTTAGGATCCTGCAACATAATTATTCTCAACCTTTAACATTTTGTAACGTTTCAAAATCAACATTCACATAATCTAAAATAAATAATCTCTTTCAACATATTTTTGAAAAACGATTTTAAAATTACATTTATACACTGTTAATTTGGATGACTAGACATGTTCATAGTAAAGGAGGTATAGTTTGAGATGTTGTGCAAAGTCTGATTAAAGTTCCTTCATTTCCAAGTATCTCTGAATCAAATTTTATCTAAGACAAACCTGAATTTATATTCAGTTAAATTCACAAGTCTATAAATGTGTGAAAGACAAAGGAGTGTTTCTCACAAAGTACGAAAACTGTGGATATCCACAGTTAGCTTAGTCCTTGTACAGAGTGATTTTTTTGCATTTATTGGATATATGCACGTGTAAGAATTTATGGTAGATTACAATCAATCCATGTATTTACATTGGAGATGTGCGTAATAACTTACTTCAGATAACTATTGACTCACATAACGATTTTTTATAATGTGAGTGAGCAACTTTTATACTGAGACACAGTGAGCAGTAACTATCATTACTACAAACAGTGTCTAACTCATAATCCCATTGTATTACTCATTTCAAGTTAATGTACCATTCTCTTTTAGATAGTAGCAATACATAATGTCTTATCTATACTCTTTTGTTTTAGAAAGACAAAAAATAGTACACATACCAGTTAATTTAATGCAAAACAATAATTAAAAATATTATTCTTTGAAAATAATTAAAAACAATTCTTGACAAATGGAGTGATATTATTGGTTTAAATTTTATTTTTTCTTGTATGTTCTTTAACAATGCCTATTTAACTGAAATAAACATAAAAATTAGATTAATTTAGATGAAAATCAACTCTAGTTCTCACGATAAATGGAGAGTGAATTAAATTTTTAATTTTCATTATGGCAGTAAAAGAAAAATTTATATTTTTGTTACTGAGCATTATATTTTTTAAACTGTTAGATGCAAAGTCCACGATTTCAAGTTATTCATTTTGTACTGAACAATTATAGCTTATGTCACTCATAAGAAAATCTATTTCTTCAAATTTTTCTTTTAGTGGGATAAACAATATCTCAATAAAACTTTTTCATTTCATGCAAGTTACTTAAGTTTACTTGTCATGACAGCGATATTGTATTTTACTCTTTTTAATAATACAAGTTTCAAGCAATGCTGAAGTAAGTGTTTTTTTAACATTTACTTTTCACACTACATATGGACGGACACTGGAGATAATCTCCTGTTCAACTGTTCATTGTATAGAAAGAAACACATACAAAATAATCAGTGTTTTTTAAAGTGGATTATGTTATGCTAGTTTGTGACGTGAAAAACTTACCACTTCTATTTTTGAAAATTATAACATTAAAAAAAAAACCACTTATATTTCCCGTATATAAAATTTCAAACAGAAAACATTACAACAGGAATGTACCATAAAGAAAGAAAACAAGTGAAAAACAGTGAAACAATTATTGCACAAAATTTCTAATAACAAAAAGACCAATATCTGAATTCATATTTGTAATCCAACTTTACACATTATATAGTTATTGCCCAAGTTCAATTCTAAAGTATAACCTATAATGCATATACACTTATATATATATATCAAAGTTTTTAGAAGATTGCATGCAAAAACAAGGTCTCTGAGATCACAATAAGTTTTGAATATAATGCGTAATATGCTAAGAAGAACAGAATATCACTAAACAAAGCACATTCTTTAACTTTTCACATAGCTTCCACAACAAACATTTTACTTAAAAAAATATCTTTTCATATGCAATTAACATTTTCTAGTAAAAAATACTGGTCCACATTAATGTTAAATTACTATTTGCTTACAAACAGATCAAAGCACATTTAAAAACAAAAGTGAATATAATATGATTTGATGGGTAACAAAACTGATTGGTTTGCTTACTTCAGTCTTAACTAAAGTTAGAATTTGGTCCAGTTGTGCTGTAAATTTTTATACCGATTAGTTTGAAACACTGAGTATTTTGTCAATTGATACATTTCTATTGTTTTTACAATGGGTAACATGAGAAACAACATCAATAATATATATAGAGAAAATTATGAAATACAGAACATGGAACTGAAGTAGATTTCACACAAAAACATGCAATAACCATATCTTTTTTTTGTATTCATAAGCAAACAATCATGTTTAACAATAATTACATGGATTTATCAATGTTAACACATTCTTTCTTGCAAAAATTAACAGGAGAACTTGAATATTACTTAATGGACGAGATGAACTTCTAGCCCCAAGTTTAACGAAATGTTTATAAGATAGGAATGTGTGAGAGTAGTATAAGTAGTGGTGTAAAAGGAGAAAAAGTGTTATTTTTCTATGCTTTTATTTTAAGCATTTGTCATGTTTGTAAGTAAATTACTTTACTGCTTTCATTGGAGTTAAGCCTAATTTTTGGAGTCATGTGAAGCACAAATTTAAATTTATAAAACATTATATCATAAAGAACAAAGATAAAACCAATGAAATGTAAAACAAATAAGTAAAAGAAAAGCTAAGAAAAAAAATAATTCAATCTATACATTCTCTTACCCTATTGAAAAACTCTGATAGCAGTACAAAAGATGTATAAAACTCTATAGCCTGATAAAATTGGATTTAACCACCTTAAGAACTAAATTCTCCCACAGATTTATATAATTTCAAAGAAATACTTGTATTGGAAGCATGGAATACATCAATTGCATCAGACAACAAGATTCATAATTAAGAAAAAAAAACTACAATAACCTTCAAAACTAAATGTCAATAAAATAATGATCTAAAGTCATCTGTAATTAAAGAAATTATTCATAAGCATAAATTTAAAATTCTCTACTATAATTTGTAGATTCAACTTATAGAGCTGTGGTGGAATCACAAAATCCAGTTTTACCAGAATCTTAGATTACTAAATTTCAATCAAAATAGCAGAATTTAGCTTCACAACATAGTTACTACAAAAACATAAAAGTACAGACTTCTCTCTCTCTCTCTTTTCTTTGTTTTTGAACATTATCATGCTCGGTAGTGACAAATTAGTTTCCATTTTTAATCCATCAGCTACTTTTAGACTTAGCTCTAGGTTCTTTCATGTATGTTCTGAAAGAAAGTAAAAAAAAACAACAAAAACTTATATTAGTTTTGTCATTAACAATATACTTTTTTAAATATTATGTATAATGAATTAAAACTATTTGAAAATCATCCTCTGTATCATAATAAATCAAAATCAATACATTACTTCTTTTATGTATTAATCATAAAAGAATTTTAACCATATCTTGCTACTGTGACTACAAAAAAACCATTATTTTGATAAAAAGAGCCATTACAATGTTGTTACAAAATATGAAAAAAAAATTAATGACCATATAAGGATGTTGTTTTACTATACATGCAATCATATAACTGATATTAATACCAGAAATAAAATTTTAAAGTTATAACTTATATAAAAATGAAGCTGCTCACATGCATACCACAGAAACCCAGGAAAGGAAAATAATCTTCATACATGTGTTGTTTAGAATGCCATAAAGTGTATCTATGATATTTGGTTTAACTTTACATGTCAGTTCAACATTCTGGAATAGGTATTGCATGACACACTTTATATGCATTAATAAGTGTGGAAAAAATAAAAGATGTCTTATGTACACACAAGTAAATACTAGAATCTAAAGCAATTGCAAAAGATTAATCTTAATAGACTTTTACTACATAAAAGGAGAGTTGTGCATTATTTTGTTGAGTTAGATACAGAGATTCAAAGCTATGAAAGTTTAACTGTCTAGTGGGGAAGTTAAGTCTGTGTGTGTACCAGTGGTGTGCCCAGTCACAAAAAAACAGTTTATTCAACTGTCAGCAAAACAGAAATCGCACAATCCAATGTTGAAAATGAGAGTTCTGATTGTAAAATTTCAAATATAAAGAGAGTCAGTCTTCTGTTCCCAATCTAGGAATAAATCAGTGGATATGATAAGACCTGAATTTTGACACTAAGACCACAATGTTACTATAGTATCAGATTAGTATTATGTGAAATGATGGGGTCATATCAATCAAGTATAAAACATGCTAGTTTTAAAGCAGCAGAGCATCAATCTGTTCAAGCCACACCAGTCATTACTAACAGCAAATCCAAAGATTTCCTAATATGGCAAAACTGCTGAGGATAGAGCTGATTTCTAAAAACTTTAATTTATGTAATAGTAAATACTCAAAGAGGGAAAGTCTTTTGTTAATGAATAAATTTTGCAACGAATCTGTTCAATGCATATTTCAATTTACTGTATTATTGCTGATATAAAAATATTAACTTATGTTTGATCGTAACTTCTGATGTTGAATTCCTTCTTATAAATGATCTTTTAAACCAAAAATGTAGATGTAATAATAACACTAAAACATTTTTATAGCATTTTGTAACTAAAAATGGTATATGAAATTATTCCATAAATTGTTCAAGCATTACTTAAGAGGTCATTAATATAGACTGAAAACCTTTTTTCTTATTATTATTTAATAAAGACATAATTACAACATAAATAGAAATTTTCCCCAAAAATTATATATTTACTGAAATATTGCAAGATAGAGAGTAATCATAAAGGCATATACAGTAAGATTTGAAAATTACTTTATAATCATATTGTACCTAAATTAACTCATTTAAAACACACTGTTTAAAGTACAGTTTAATGTTAATCAAATGTGGTCACCAATCCATTATACTTGCATATTTTAAAAAATATTCCCAAATAATTAAACACAATACAATACTTGTACTGGAGTAATTTTCTTAGGCCTACATGTATTACATTCACATAAAGAATAAACTATAAGAAATGTACTTGAATATTACTAGGATGAAAAACCATAAGACAAATTCAATATTTTTGGTATAAGTAAAAATACTCACGTTAATTAAAATCAATTATTAACTATTGTACTCTTCTAGAGCTTCATAACATCATAATAGTTTATTTTACCTCTTCAAATAAATCAGTGTTGACAAAAAATAAAACACAAAGGAGCACGAGTTAACTCCATAAGCAAGTTATTTATCTAAGTTAAAAGCATTTAACAGTTAGACAGAATGAAGCAAGCTCAAACAAATATGCAAACAGTTGTATTTATAAATTCTTAAAAGTATAATTTGACAGCATGCACACATGCATACCACATGCATTACAGTACATGTAAAGCAAATTATATATAAAATTAGATTTGAAAACATCAAACCATCTGTAGTCTACTCTTAATACATCATTCTATTCCCATCCTCAAAAGCCACCAAAGAGAAGTAACAATTTTATTTTGTATTTCTGACTTACAGCAACAAGTATATTGCAAAGCACTATGTGTTACAAGCGATCCAGAAAAGTTATCACGATAGGTTCTGGTGGTTCATCGTAGCTTCTGAAATAAAGTTAAAGCAATCTGTTTTGCACACATTTGCATGTTAAGCAAAAGGTATAAAGTGGGTAAATGCTGGGGTTTTAAAGCAGCTCCACTTGGAAATCAAAAGCATTTCAAATTACACATTAAAAGAAAAAAACACTAACAATCAAAACAGGTAAACAAAACAACATAAAAAAAAATATTCAAAACTGTTAACCCTAAGAATATTATGTTCTTTAGACAATAAACCAATTGAGAAATTAAAATACAATTTTTATTATTTTACACATTTAAATCAAAAAAGTTACTTTAGAAGGAAGCATCAGTAACTTTCTCAGAGAATCATGCTTTATTGGCAACTCATTTACCAAAAAAGATGTAAAAAAGTTACATATTTTTTCTATAACAAATTAATTTTAAATCATTAATTAAACAAATAAACAAACACCAATGCTGTACAAATATAGAAAGACCCAGTACATAATTTAAAATTCCCTGAATGCAAATATTGTACATATATAATGAATTGCACAGTGTAATAGAACTGATGTTATATAATTCATAATTCTATGTATCAAGTTTCTGGGAGAACATTATTTCCATCCAAGACATGTTTGTCTAAATTCAGATTACGTACATGAGACAACTAGCTCATCTTACTAATATTATGCAAATGTCCAAGAAACTACATTCACAATTTCAAATCAGAGTCATATGTGTTTAAAACTTCATTCCTTTACAAAGGGTAAACAAGGGACCATCAAGACTAATTCATTTTTCCAAACTATATATTGAACCCCTTTGTCTTATATCCAGCTCTGATCTCTAAAATATTCATCTTCTTAATTTTCTTCAATGTTGTATCTTCTACCACATCCAAAAAATAAATTACTTTGTAGGCCAGCCACCCTATCAGAAATATAACACTGTATTGGCTGGGCACATAAGAGTTTTCCATATATTAAACTTCTGTTCTCTTGCCTTACTGCTTGCAGAGATTTTTTTTAATGAAAACACCACTTAGATTTATGGATTTCAAAAGATATCAGTCTTATAATCTTCAATCATGTCCCTCTGAGCTTTTCTCCTATCCAACAAAGACACATATCAAGAAATTTTGACCTATCTCATACAATAACCCCTCCAAACGTGGAATCATCCTGGTAGCTTTCCTATGAACCCTCTCCAACAACTTAACACTATTTTTAAATAACATGTAAAAAGCAGAAACAATATTCTTATGAGATCTAACTAGTAATTACAGAGTGAACCAATAACCTATTTTAACTTGTACTTTACTTCTATGTAGACAATCTAAAATACTTTCCTCCATATTACTAGCTAAGTACAATGCCTGGAACAGTGGTTCTCAACCTTTCCAACTAAGGACCAGCAAGTTCCTATCCCAAAAGTTCACAGCTGGCTTTTTACAATATTAACTTTTTCAAATACTTTTAAATTAGATTATAAAACAACATATTTCAGTAGCTACATTTCAAAACATACATTATTGTTTTTTTCAACCATCTTGAAGATTGGTTGAAATCTCCCTATAGACCAGTGGTTGGAAACCACTGGTCAAGTAAGGTTTAGAGACCTTGTATTATCTAGGTTTAGGTATTTTTCTCATCACCTTCACCCTACAAGGCTATAAGAACAATTATTACATCTTGGCAGTTCTTTTCAACAGTTACAGGTTGCAGTCATTTAAAAGCCCAAATAAGAATTATTATTTCATGCAATTTGACAATTCTATTCCACTATTTAGTTTCTATATTTCTTAGTACAAGATCTGAGTTTTCACATTTTGACAATCACACATTGTCTGTGTGTGTCAGTATCAAGTACATATTTCTGTGCTTTTTTGTACCATTACATAATCCTCCAAGTGTCTTTTTGTGAAAATATTTTGATTCTCTATCTCTTGGAGTGCAATTATAATAAATCCTCAGTAAATGTGGTAGTTGTGATAAAGAAATTATATATATATATTTTTTCTAATTTTATAGCAGAAAGAACAATTTTATATTCTGGATATTTTTGCATGTCCCAAATGCTATGAAAACCTTATCAAACTTATTATCTCATACCAAAAATTAATGGGTAATTCACAATGGATAAAGATATTCAAAATAATATCCATGGTAAAAATTAAAGGATATTGTAACCAAGTACTAATAACACTGGGTAATATAAAAAAAAAATGGTTAAAATCAATGTAAAGAAAAATAAATATGAGATCAGTAGCTCTTGCTAACCAGGAAATTTCCAGTCCCTTATGTCCCCTCTCCCCATTTTATTACAGATTTTAACTAAATTAGTTTGTTATTCATATTATTTTCTAATAACACTGGTTTGATAGGAAGGACCAGTATGTATATGGTCATAAAGAAAAGATGAAAACATAGCTAATTTGTAGAATATAACATCTCACCACACAACTACATATATATATATATATATATATTTTAATGTTTGAAGGTTGATTATGCTATACATTACATTTATATCATAAGCAATATCTGCTTAGGACAGGTGATGGTACCACACGATGAAGCAAGATTTCCAGAACTCTTTATTTTCTATCCAAATGCTAAAACTAAAAAACTTAGTTTCTATATGTAATTCATCAGCAAAATCGTTAGTCTTATGTAAAGACTGATAAGTAAACATGGAGCTGCTCTAGCATATCTGAATCTAATGAACCCAACAAAAATAAATTAAAAGCCTATTTCTGCTTGATACTACATTGCCAGTGAACTAGTGCTGAAGTCCTGCTATAGTAGAACACAATTTTACATATGACATAGTCAGTGTTAAGAAACTGACTTATAGATTAAAAGAAAAACATTGCAATGGTATTCTTCAAAAACTGTAAGCATAATTTATCCTTTTTTTTTCTGTGAATAACAAAACTTAAATTACATATTATTTTGCTTACAACTATTGCATTATTGCTCTTAATATAGCTAAAACACAATATTAAAAGTGTTACAACTGGTCAAATATACAAAGCACTAAAAGTATTAAAACAATAGTTCATTACTATTGCATTCATTATTTATGATAAAAAGTAGTGTAAAAGTAATTAACTGCTATGAAAATAAAATGAAACAATATTTTATTAATACTTTTACAAATTATGAAAATTAGCTTAAACAAAATTATGTCATGCAAATGTGCAATAAAATGTAAATATGTGAAAAAAACTACAGCTTAGTGGAAATAAATCCTCTTATTTTAAAACCAGACATTGCTAACATTTTCAATTTAATAAAAAAATAGCTTTTTACAAGTTTATTTTAATAATAAATTTCTAAATGCATAAAAAGGTATCCTGAAAATGATTACATTGTAAAAGATAGGGCTGGTTTATTTTTACACACTTTATCTTGTCCACTATAGATTCAAAGATACTCCAAACTTCTGATTTACTGTACATGAAATAATTAAAAAGTATAACATTTTAACACTTACATATAATACTTTATAACCGTTAAGAATGGAGCGAAAGAAATACTTCCTTTATTTGTTAAATAATTTAATGATATTCACAATAAGTTGGTTTAATATTACAATAACAATAATAAGGGTTAGGACTTACTTCAAAAATAATGTTATAAAATTACATATACACTACATGTACCTATATTAAGAGGCTTGAATTAGTTTGTTTTGAATTTTGAGAAAAGCTAAACGAGGGCTATCTGCACTAACTGTCCTTAATTTAGCTGTGAAAGACTAGAGGAAAGGCAGCTAGTCATCACAACCCACAGCCAACTCTTTTACCAACAATAATGCCCCATGGCTGAAAGGTTGAGCATGTTTGGTGGAAAGGGGATTCGAACCTGCGACCCTCAGATTGCGAGTCAAGCACCTTAACCACATGGCCATGCCAGGCCTGAGAAGCTTGAAATATTATTTACATGACAATTACATTTGATATTAAGATAATTTTAAGAATTTTTCTCCAACAAACAAAAAACTGATGGATATTCTATTTTGGCAATATTTTGATTCCATTGCTAGCATCTTCAACAGCAACATGTAGTACTTTGCCTCAATGGTTCCAGCAAACAAAACAAAGTTTCAGAAACATAAAAAATCCATTTTTTTTTTCACAGAGAAATCCTAGAATGCTCTTAAAATTAAAATAATCCCATGTAATGAGCTTCAAATACAATTAACTATGTCTAATGTTATACCACACAGTTTTATAATATGCAAATAAGGTAGTTTTTAGTTTCATATTTTCTAAGTTCAAGAATGAGAGATAAAAGTTTTTACAACTCTTAATAGAAACTATATCATAAGTTTCACTGTGACAAAACAAAAACTTAATTAATGTACATCATTCACTACAAGTTCAAAGCAGTACTTACATGTCCATAGTGTTGATGGTAGTGTTTGGGCAGTATGTTTCGACTTGAACATGGCAGCTCTTATGGCACAGTAGATTGCAGTCTATTTACAAACAACATGAGAATTAAACAACTGAATGTACATGTACATACAGAACAAAATTAAGAAATATAGCCCAAATTACCTTAAAAAACAAAGCTTGCTTATTTAATCTTTTAACCCATTCACTGCAGCTGGTACACATTTGGATTCTTACTTTTAAACTTCCTGTGTGAGGTGTTGAATCGTAAATTTTTGTGGTAATGTTGTCCATTGACATTCTGCTATATATATTTCCATACAGTAAGTGAATTATTTCTGCTTTCTACGTGTCAGTTTCCTTCAAGATATCAGAGACCTGTATGACAACATCTCGCTAACATAGCAGCAAGAGCCGCTGGAGCTGAGATCCAGGTTATTTTATGGATTTACTATATAGCATTGACTCTGATGAGTTAATGCAGTGAAACGAAAAAAAAAGTAAAGGCCATATATGTACCAGCCACAGTGAATGGGTTGGTTAGACATGATATTTCACAATAGTACGGATTTATATGTTTATGTACGTGCCTCACATTTTTCCATATTTTGACTTTCCTACAATCATCTTTGATAGAAATATTTATTGGATATGAACATATATTACAGAGGGAGCCTTTCATTAAGACATAAGCAAAAACATACCAAATAAACTTGTAATGTTACAGGAAAAATATTTTCTACAAACAATATAGAAAAGCATAATGTTTTTAAAGGATTTTAAAAGCATCTGACAAAGACCTTCATTTAAAAACTATATTATCATAGCACACAGTTGAACACTGGTATGTTGAATTTCAACATCTTGAATACATAGCTGACATCAAAGTCATAATTCAGTCACTTCTATTTCCTTTAACATTAATTGTATCTAATGTTCTACATTTATTATGGATTAAAACTAATGTCAAGATCCAAGATTGACTATCCCCATCCTCCGATATCTCAAAGTCGCTGACACTTCAAAATATTGATGTTCAACTGTATTCAACTGAAACAAATATCTTAACTTTTTTCCACAAAACTGTCATGTCAGTACAAATTAATGGACCTCTAATTGGCCTTTACAATAACAAGTTTATTCAAGTTTTAATCAAAACCTTAAATGCATAGTTTTCACACTCAAACATTAATATAAATAATAAAACAATGAGTATTATATTCCTCAGTCAGAAAATGTACTTCAGTTGCATACTTGCTTAAGGTTTTTATAATACAGATCTTGGTGGAGAAGGATTTTAAAGTTAAAAGTAATTGTTAAAGTGTTAAACCTTAACCATCCTTTAAACAAAATTGTTTGGTGACAATTAAGATGAAATGTAACTAATAAAAAGTTTCTGAAGCTGGATCTAAACCAGGATATGTGTTTCCTAATCACATTTAAAACTAATGATTACCGGTGTCAATTTAATGACTTTATATTAATTCTTCTAAAAAAGCAAATAATAAGAAACAGTCCCAACCAATGGTTGAAATTTCCAAGAGCTTTAATTTTTTCCTGCTGATTGTAAGCTACAAAATTTTAGGTACACACTTTTTATAACCTATTTGTTTCTTTTTGGATTATCAAATAGCATCTCTTTTATTTCAACATTAACTATGCTACTATAACAAAAATATCAAGTTTTTTTTTAAAGCACTTACTTACCTCTACACTCATAGCCCTGCTTACCAGGACGGCGAGATAGTTTTTTCTTGCAAACTTGACAAATAGTTGATCTGTTAAGAAAAAAGTTGTACATATAAATAAATATATATATATATTTATGTGTGTGTGTATATATTGTACAGTAGAAAATGTATTATACAGTTGAAATAGAAAAAAAAAAAACTTTTTCAAAAACACCTACAATAAATATAAGAGGTTAGCATACAAATTAAATGTCTAGTAAAGTCAAATTACTTTACTCTGAGCTTATAGAAGGATCCAAAATAAGTTTTTCAGTAGAAATGGGAAGTTAATTTTTACAGTACACCTGTAAACATTTGTTGGACCAGACAGTTTGTTTAATATAGGTCACTTAAAACAGTATTGAGTATAAATGAAGTCATGTAAGACAAATACAGTATTAAAAAATAAACAAAAAAACACCAAGATAGGGCTTACAATAAGTAGGTAATTGGTTCCAAGATTTCACAGACAACATGAACATAACTGAATTTCTATATTATCTTCAATATAAATCTTCCAGTGAAGTTCAATGTTCAAATTATCACTGGAACAATTAACACAGTAAATAGAGAACAACATCTGTGTAACATTAGCACTAACACCACTAACAACAATGATGCCCAACTGATGACCTAAGGCACAGTGGTCATACAAGCTTTTTGTGGTTTGCCTGTCACTCATACTTAAGATTAATTATTACTAATTGTCCAAAATCTTCAATAAAACGTAAACTTTTTCTAGTAGAGGTTATTACACAATAGCAATGTACTGATTCACTTGTAGAAAAGAAAATGGGTTATGCAGTGTTCATATGTCACAGCAATTATAGTGAAATCAGTCAAAACCATATTGACCCGCACATTCTCAGTAAGATTTTGTCTTAGTGAGCTGCAGGTTTTGCCATTGAAAGAGAACGTACAGTTATGTATGACAGTTGGCTTAAGCACTTACAACAATACATACATTAAATGGAATCTTGTATAACATTTTCTGGTCCTCCTACATCCAAATTTATTCTCTTTACAACATAATACATTACTGACAGACCCACATCCACTTCAAATTTCTTCATATCCACTCTGTATGCTTGAAATAATATTTACTTCCAAAGCTTCTCTCAGCATGAAAGACAAATACTTTAGCTTATATGTAGGATACATACAGTCACACACTAGATTCAGTAAACTGCTTCTATTTCAATAAAACCACACAAGGGAGGAAGAAAGATGCAGAAATGAAAAGGTTAAAAATATCATATTTTGGTACATGAATATATAAGCAGCTACTACAAATATATGGGTCAAAAATGTTCAATAGTTAAGCAAGAAAGATAAAGTTAAAAAAGAAAGAAAAAAATCTTACTAACTTTAAAGAATATTCTTACTTTTAAAACAGAGTTGAGAAGGAATCTAGAATAATAAAAATACAATTATTAAATGTACTTGTAATGATATTTATTTATTTATTTTGCCTGATTACAGTTCTTGTGAATAACTTTTTACATACACACAAAAATCAGTTCCAAGAAAAAGTTGAGAAATTAATAGTACATTCAAAAATGCATCTAAAAGCATCAGAAAAAAAATCATTAATCCACTCATAAGAAAACAAAAACAGAACATAAAACAATATAATTGATTGAAAAATTTCATATACTATAAAACATTATGTACCCAGACAGATGCTTGGCAACAAAGATGTGGTCATTATATATATGTAGTTTTGCCCCTCTCTTTCCCCATTTACTTTGGTTGGCAAGGGATCCTGGAATCACATAATGCCTAGAGAAAACATGCAAATAAACATCTAAGTCAATCCTGAAAACTATTTTCATAAAACACATTTACTTTAACTCTTTTAATACGGGCTTGGTCAAGTTAACTGACCACGTGACCTTTTGTACTTGTTTAAAGTCAATACAGATTTAATACTTAGAACTCTCAATATTGTGTTTATATCTTCATGAAATTTGGCAGTCTTTCAGTTAAAATTACAAGTCTTTCACATACAAAAAATCATA